GTAGGAGAGAATATTCTAGAGTCACGGGCATAGTTAACAATCGTGTTGTGATCTTGGCTTAAAATGACTAATCAATTTTATCTGGGTTATTGATTGATAGGGTTGATATTACTCATAAGAATCTAGCGAGTTCTTACTCACCTATTCAAGTCAACTCAATGCCTATATGTCTATGGAATTAAGATTAACAAGAACACATTTACAATTGCTGTATTTCAACAAAGCAAGCCAATTGGATATATGTCTATCCCAATTGCGAATCCGTTCCCCGAGGCTCGGGTTCAAGAAATTGCTCTATTTAATTCTATATGCAATCTAAAGTTCCCACTTTCAAGTTCAACTAAAGATTCGTAGATAGTATTTCACTGTTAGCTAATCAGCAAAATAATTAAGAACAGAATTAAATAAACAACCCAATATGATAAATCAACTTTGTCGAATTAAACTTCAAACAACAACATTCATGTTTTACCCATGACCCTAGAACAATGGTTCTTATCCACTCATACTAGTGTTCATCACAAATAAGTTCAATTTCATCACAAAATAGCAAAAACAAGAGAAGAAAAGAAGAACTTGATGGTCAAAACTCCTCCTTGCCTCTTGCCTCTCTATTTCTTGCACTAAACTATGAAAACCTTTTTCGTTTAACCTTGGCCGAGCTTGACTTTATATAGGTTAAGTGGGTTTCTCTCCTGATTTCCAATTTTACCCTTAAATAATGTTTTTCCGGACTGGACACGCGCTAGCTCGCGCATAACTTCGCACGTTTCTTCGTGCATGATTCTACCTCGCCCTTTCTTACACGCGGCTTTGCGCGTTTCTTCGCGCACCTGGAGCTTTATTTCATCCATTTTTTTGTCTCGTCCTTGCGCGCACTCAACTCCGAGGGGTTGTTCTTGCTCATAAATCATTCCAACATCCTCTTGAGAGCATCATATAGGCTCCTCATCCTGCAATGTATACATATCACAATTAGAGCCTATTTTTCATCAATTAACCATAATATGTAATTGGAATATAATCAATCGGAAGCATAAACAATAGCTAAATCACCTAGATTTCGCCTATTATCAACACCCCACACTTAATTCATTGCTAGTCCTCGAGCAATCAACTCTACTCTCTAGAAAATCCTTCACTCAACCATTTCCCTTAACGCATCACACCTAGAACAATGTACATGTATTATGCCTAGCAGTGAACAATCCTAGCCTCAAAGTCGACTCTCAAGTGCCATGCAATATTCACACTTCCTCAAAGTACTCTACACAAAAGTCAAGACTTGCTTTTCCTTCACGAACCATATGCCCTCAGAATTACATCAACAAAAACTGAGTTAAACCCACCACATTCAATTTATATACTCACATATATCAAGGAAATCACTCACTCTCACAAAAGAGGGCACATGCATGCAATTGGTACCATAAGCTTGCCCTTAATATAAATCTCTACTAATGTAAGCTAGCTCGATCCAAAATCAATTAGGACTTTTTCATGGTTGTAATGTGGGATAAGGGATGGGTAGGATGTATTTAGGAATAGTGACTCAACCCCTAAGCACTTTAACACATCACATGAGAAATTTTTAGCGCACATTCTTCAACTCACTTCTCATTCACACACAATATCATCCCACAAATACTCCTTCTTTAAGCACTCTATTAATTCATTCCCACTAGCTGGAACAAGACACAATGTAATCATCTCTTTTTTTTCTTTTTTTTTGATAAAGTTTATTCTTCTTGTCACTTAATTTCTGCTAGTGGTGCATTCGTTTACCACATAAGTGCACCTTTCATCCTTTTATTGGTTCCACTCAAAAGCCACCCCACACTTATTTCCTTCTTACTTCTTTTAGCGCTCCTGTCATAATTAAAGTGGTTTAAGGGGTAAAAGGATCAAAACAATGTCAATTAAGAACAAAAGGGTATAGGCTTGTAATGCGGGTGCCAAACAAAAGTCTAAAGGCTGAAAAGAGTTAACTAGGGACAAATTTTATTTGTGATAAGCAATTAAGCTCAAAAAGGTCAAAGAAAGCCTAACATCATTTTTTCAAACCGAGCATCACCTAAAATTTCGCTTCACCTCACATACCGGGCAAGTTCTAGACACAAGTACAATACATGGACTACACAAATACTCACCACATATGGCATATGACTCATTCAGATCAGCTCATCAAGACGCTCCATTGCGAGCATTCAATTCAGTAACAAACATACAAATTAAGGCACTTTCAGTCAGATTCAACAATTAGGACTAAGCATTACACTCTAAGGTCTATTGTGTTCAGGTGTGTCAACGCTACGGGTTCTCTTTCAATTTTATAGCTCGTAGCCCATTACCCTACTCTACAAATCAAAAAGAAAACAACAATAAAAACTACCTATGCCCGGTTCAAGCTAACCCTTGGAAAAGAACCGCGGCTTAAAGAAAAATCAAGGGGGAATTGCTACACTACCTAAGAAAAAAAAAATCTTTTTGTTGTTTTCTCTAGACTCACTTCTCTCAAGAAAATCGTCTAAAAGATCCGTCATCAGGAAGAGCCTACAATCTTTTCATTTATTGTTTTTCGACTCAGTCCCTCAAGAACCCCTTCGAAAGGGATCCGTCGTCGGACCGACCCATTTATCTAAATTAACAAAAAAACTACTCCTGCTTAATAAAATCTATCAAGTCAACATGAAACTAACAAAAAAAAACCCGACAATTTGTACAACAACATACAACAGACAATGAAGGAATCCCCCACCCCACACTTAAAAAAGAAGATATGTCCCCATGGCTTAAAATTTAATAGAGCAGTGAGGTAAAGAGACTTCCCCGAAGCTTCACTCTTGATCGGAAATAGTTTCGGGGTTCACGTTGCATGCACACCCCAAAGCTCGCAGCCAACCCATGAACGTTTTTTCCGACTTGACTTGTCGGTAAGCTATTGCGTCCACACGAGTGCCCAAATCAGTCATAGAGGTGTGTAGATCAGCCACCTCCTTCTCCAATGTGTTGTGCCGGGACACTCTGGCAGTTCTTGAAGAGGACGCTACTCGTGATAGTGCTGCAGCTGTTGCGCTGGGCGCATGGGCTTGCGTTTCCCCCTCCACATCCATTTTCTCATCCTCTTCCTCCTCCGATGCTTCAGAACCACTCTCATCCTCTACACCTGCCGCTGCTGCTAGGGCTTCCCCCGTGGTGTTCTTGCCAGGTCGGATCTTGTTGCTTTTTCTTACCAGCCCGTCCATACGATTATTTTCAGGCACCTGTACTTTCCTGCAAAGCTTAGTCACCAAAGATGGGAAAAAGAACCCATACAGGCGTTGGGGTCACCGGATAAACATCTCGTCGTGGATCACTTTAGCCATGTCGAATGGAAGACCCTTGATGAAACACCAAATCAATGCAACCTGGGGTCCATTCACCTCCGTAGTATTTTTGGAGGGAATAAAGCGACTGTTAATCACATACAGCCAGCTCTTCGCCTCTGGAGTTAAGACGGAGGAATGGAACTTCTCTCTATGTTCCAGCCACTCTACCATTTTTCCTGGTACGCAAATTTCATCAAAGAAGTGCTCCCACTTGGCATCGGTTGGATTTCGCCCATATTCATAAAAGTCAGTATTCCCATGCAGAGGGTCGGGCAATTGATATGTTATGCGTATCACCTCAATGGAGGCATCCACCACCTTGCAGTGCACCGTGACCACATGGTTGTCATGCTCTGGTAGATTAGCATAGAATTTGCGTACAACCATTACATTAGCCTCCCCTAGCTCGTCAATGAAGGTCTGCAAACCCCGCTCCATGAATTCATTGTACATGTGGGGGCATTGTTCCTTGACCTTTTTGATGTCAATGCCCCTCTCCGGAATTGGCTTCTTGGCAGCCTTCTTTGTAAAATGGGTTTGAGCCTCAAGGGAGACAAATTTGTTGCTATCATAGGGACATGCAGGGGCTGCCTTTTGGCGTCTTAAGGATGGACCCGTGGTTTGGCACTTTCTCGATGGTGCCATAATACCTGCAAAACGTGGACACATTAGCTTAGCCCAACAAAAAATAGTGTGACTTAATGCGGTTACTCAGACTTCACACGCAAAATTGGTCACAACTACATAATCATGCTCATTGAGGCCTTTCGACAAACACCTTGTGGGCATTAGGCTCTCACAACTCTTTTCTAAGTGTCTTGCAACAAGGGCCTCCCACAAATCTCATCCATAACCTAAATCAAGTACTACCCATCCCACACTTGCAATAAACTAACCCCACAACATATTTCACCAAGTTTGAACACCAATTCACCAAACACATCTACACTAATGGTATAAGATACAACATACAAAAAGAAAAAAAAATCTGAAAATAGAAAGAGAAAAAGAAAGAAAACTACAACTAGGGCTCATACCTTGTGAAGGAGAATGGGGAGGATGCTAGTGAGTTTGGGGAAGAAAATCGTGAGAGGGTGATGGGGACAGGGGTGCTGGAATTTGGTGAAGGAGTTGGGCGTTTTTGGGTGAGAATGGGGGAGAGGAATGGGTATTGTTTATTAGAAGGGGGGGTAATTGTGTCTAAAAAATAACCAATAAAACTAAAAAAGAAAAAAGAAAAACTAAAACTAAAAAAAACACAAAAAGCCGGAAGAGTTCCGTTAGGTGCGTGAACTAATGCGCGAGCTCGCGCGGTGCTATTTTGTTCCAGGCAGAATGGTTCGCTCAGGCGCGTGAACTTGTGCGCGAAGTGGGCGTGAAGTCGCGCTCCTAGGCATTTATTGTTGCATTTTTTTTCCACCTATTTTTCTCCTGGTTGATGGTCCTTTCACCCGCCCTTCGTCGCCTGCATTTGTTAGTAAGTTAAATCTCAAAATCAAACACTACTATTATCGTTGGGTTGCCTCCCAACCAGCTCCTTATTTAACATCGTGGCACGATGGTTACAACATTTCAATGGGTTACTTTCCATCCAGCGCCTGATTTAACGTCGCGACATGACTCAACATGTTGTCAAGCATCCTTCAAGTCCACTGATGTCTTGTGAAATGCAAAGTCACCACCCCAGTAATGTTTTATCCGTTGACCGTTCACCAAGAAAGTGCCAGTTGAACTCATATCTCTCAACTCCACGGCTCCATGAGGCTTCACACTTACCACAACAAAAGGGCCCGACCAACGAGATTTAAGCTTTTTGGGAAAAAGCTTCAACCATGAATTGAACAACAAAACTTCTTGCCCTGGCTCAAACTGTCGAATGTTTCTTGTCATGCCACCTCTTAGTCTTCTCTTTATACAATTTGGCATTCTCATATGCATGTAATCGAAACTCCTCGAGCTCATTGAGTTGCAACAACCTCTTCTCTCCAACTAAGTCCCCATCCATGTTCAGCTTCTTTATCGCCCAATAGGCCTTGTGCTCAAGTTCGACGGGCAAGAGACATGCCTTCCCATACACCAATCTATAAGGAAAAGCACCTATGGGAGTTTTGTATGCTGTTCAATACGCCCAAAATGCGTCGTCTAACTTCCCGTCCCAATCTTTTCTATTTGCACTCACTGTTTTCTCAAGAATTTGCTTGACCTCTCTGTTTGAAACCTCCACTTGACCACTCGTCTGTGGGTGATAGGCAGTGGAGACCTTATGCTTGACCCGTACTTTGCAAGGACATTGTTTAACAGTTTGTTGCAGAAATGCGTACCTCCATCGCTGATCAACACTCTGGGAGTTCCAAAACTTGTGAAGATATGCTTCTTGACAAATCTTACCACCACCTTTGCATCATTAGAGGGAAGAGCAATGGCCTCCACCCACTTAGACACATAATCAACTTCCACCAAGATGTATCTATGACCGTTCGAGTATGGAAAAGGTCCCATGAAGTCAATTCCCCAAACATCAAAAAACTCCACTACCAAGATGTTTTGCAGTAGCATCTCGTGCTTCTTAGTGATCGTCCCGGTTCTTTGGCACCTGTCACACATTTTAACAAAGGCGTGTGCATCCCTAAGAAATTTTGGCCAGTAAAAACCTTATTGTAGCACTTTCTGAGCTGTCCGGTCTCCACCGTTATGACCTCCGTATGGTGAGGCGTGACAACTATGAAGTATGGCGCTCATCTCCTCCTTAGGAACACATCTCCGTACCAACTGATCTTCACAGAGCCTATATAAGAATGGATCATCCCACATGTAGAGCCTCAAATCATGCATGAACCTTCTTCTATTGTCTAATGTCAATTCTGGTGGTGTCACCCCACTTGCAATGAAGTTCACATAATCCGCATAACACGGGGCTGTGCTTGAGGTGATTGCCAACAACTGCTCATCAGGGAATGTTTCTTTGATTGCACCTCCTTCAACCACATGGTTCCGATTTTCTAATCTGGACAAGTGATCAGCCACTTGATTCTCTGTTCCTTTGCGGTCTCCGATCTCTAAATCAAACTCTTGCAGTAGTAGGACCCACCGAATCAGTCTCGGCTTGGCGTCCTTTTTCTCAAACAAGTACCTGGTGGTTGAATGATCTGTGTAGACGATGACTTTGGTCCCCACAAGTTATGACATGAACTTGTCAAACACCCACACTACTGCAAGCAACTCTTTTCAGTGAAGGTGTAGTTCATCTGAGCTGGATTCAGAGTTGCTCGCATAGTAGATGGAGTGAAAGATCTTGTTTCTCCTCTGTCCCAAGACAGCCCCAACAGCCAAGTCGTTAGCATCACACATCAACTCAAATGGCTGCTCAAAGGTCTGAGCAATTATGATAGGTGCAGTCACCAACCTTCCTTTCAGCTCTTCGAATGCCTTCAGACAGGCATCATCGAATTTGAAGACTACATCCTTCTCAAGCAACATGCACAAAGGAGAGGAAATTTTCGAGAAATCTTTAATAAAACGATGATAAAAACCTGCATGGCCCAAGAAACTGTGGATGCCTTTGACAGATATCGGTGGAGGCAATTTTTCAATCGCTTCCACCTTTGCCTTGTCCACCTACAAACCGTCTTTGGACACCTTGTGCCCTAAAACTATTCCTTCACGTACCATGAAATGGCACTTTTCACAGTTTAGCACCAAGTTAGTCTTTTCACACCTAACAAGTACTTTATCGAGGTTCATTAAGCAGTTATCAAAAGAACATCCAAAAACAAAAAAGTCGTCCATGAATACTTCCATAAACCTCTAAACCATGTCAGTAAATATGGCCATCATACACCTTTAAAAAGTCACAGGTGCATTACAAATACCAAGGGCATTCTCTTGAATGCATACGTGCCATAAGGACACGTAAAAATGGTATTTTCTTGGTCCTCTGGTGCTATAGCAATCTGATTATACTCGGAGTAACCATCCAGGAAGCAATAGTACTCCTGGCCAGCTAATCTATCGAGCATTTGGTCAATAAAGGGGAGGGGAAAGTGGTCCTTCCGGGTGGCATTGTTCAATTTTCTATAGTCAATGCAAATTCTCCACCCGGTGATAGTTCTTGTTGGGATTAGATCATTATTTTCATTAACTACCACAGTCATCCCCCCTTTATTGGGTACACATTGGACTGGGCTTACCCATTTGTTGTCTGAGATAGGAAATATAATACCTACATCAAGCCACTTAATCACTTCTTTTCTTACCACCTCTTTCATGATAGGATTGAGGCGGCGTTGTTTCTCAACACTGGGCTTATGTCCTTCCTCCATGAGGATTTTGTGCATGCAAAAGGCTGGACTAATGCCCTTAATGTCAGACATCGTCCACCCCAGTGCGCGCTTGTGCTCCCGTAGCACTCTCATCAGCTTTTCTTCCTGCAATTTAGACAAGTCAGAAGAAACAATAACAGGTAGGGTGTCAGAGTCACCCAAATAAGCATATTGCAGGTGAGAAGGGGGAGGTTTAAGCTCCAATTTTGGGGCTTTCTCAATTGACGGCTTTAGAGGAGGTCCCTCTGGCCTGTTCAAGGGTTCAAAGGGGTGTATCCCCTGCATGTATGCACAAGATGTGTTAAGGATGTGCATCATCTCCTCGACCTCCTCATCATTGCCCAGGCTATCAAACAACATAAGTGCTTTCTATAGAGAATCGTCTAGAAAAATACTTGGATCATAAATTTGCTCATCAGCCTCTACAACCGATATCATGGAGAGCTCCTCATAGTGACGGGGAAATTGGATTGCTTTGTAGACATTGAAATCGCTTCCTCATCTTCTACCCTCAAAATCATATTTCCCTCTCTCACCTTGATAATTGTGTCACCAGTAGCCAAGAGAGGTCACCCCAATATGATTGGGACCAGTTCATCAGCCTCATAATCGAGGATAATGAAGTCAGCAGGGAAGATAAATTTCTCAATCTGCAGCAACACATCTTCAATCACCCCCTCAGGGTGTGCTATTGACCTGTCAGCCAGCTGCAACATCACAGTAGTTGGCCTTGGAGCTCCCATACCCAATTCTTTGAACAAAGACAGGGGCATCAGATTTATGCTTGCCCCTAAATCGCAAAGAGCACAACCCACATCAACATTACCAATACGCACAGGAATCGTAAAGCTGCCAGGATCCTTAAGCTTTTGAGGAAGCTTATTTTGGACCCTAGAAGTGCACTCCTCAGTAAGTGCAACTATCTCAAACTCAGTCAATCTCCTCTTATGAGCCACTATGTCTTTTATGTACTTAGCATATTTTGGAATTTCGCGAAGCACATCAACCAGTGGAATATTCAATTGAACCTGGCTCAACATGGAGAGGAATTTGCTGAACATGCGATCATCATTCCTCTTTTGCAATATCTGGGTGAAAGGTGGTGGTGGCCTTGGGGCCTCTACTGGCTTTGGAATTACAGCAGTCTTCTTTGGCTCGTTTTTCACTTTAGGGATCAACTCTCCCTCAGGTACAGGCTTATCTTTCCTTTTCTATGGCACTTCCTCAAGCTCTCTCCCGTTTCTAAGTGTAACGGCATTTACTTGTGGATTCTTCTCTGTGTCACTAGGGAGAGCGCCTGTAGGTCTAGTATTTTGATTAGTAGCTAACTGCCCTAGCTACCTCTCAAGATTTATGAAGTCAGTCCTGATTGTCAATAAACAACTTTTTTAACAATTCGTTGGTGCTCTCTTCCATTTGGTGGGGTGGCTTTTGAGGCTGATTGAAACCCCCTTGGGGTCTATGCTGATTCTGATTCTGCTGATTTCCACCCCATGAGAAGTTGGGATGATTCCTCCAATTCGAATTGTGAGAATTTCTATATTGTGCATGCTGATTCGGTGGACCTCTATTTTGTTGCCCCACATAATAGATGGATTCTGGATTTGTGGGGCACATGTCACTCATTTGATTGTCACCACATAATTCGCAGCAAATAGCCATTTGGTGTCATGTTTCATCGGTTGTGGTTGCTGCATCGTCATTCTAGCCATCTGATTGGCCAGCTTTGCAATATCGGGTCACATGGCTGAAACCTCATAAAGTTCAAGTAAACCAGTTGATTTTTGCTTAATGTCCTTCCGTGAATCACCCTCACCTTGCCAGTTATTATCATTAGCAGTGCAATTATTCAGCAAGATTTGGATTTCACTATATAGTCTGGCCATGGAACTACCCCCACAAGCTGAGTCTAGATTCATCTTTGAAGCATCATCTAACCTATCTACAAAAGTGTGACCCAATACCTCGTCTGTCTGACAATGATGAGGACAGTCTCTGAGCATCTTCTTATACCTTTCCCATGCTTGACGAAGTGTCTCTCCAGCTCGTTGTTCGAACCCAAGAATTTGACTCCTCAACACCTTTGTTTTCTTGGTGGGGAAAAACTTGATTAAGAATTTCCTCGCCAGACATCCCAAGTGCGGATTGAATTTGCTGTCTCTTTATTCAACCACTCCTTAGCTTCCCCAATCAGTGAAAAGGGGAAAAGTGTCAGCCTGACATAGTCCTTGGAAACATTCGGATAGTTGTAGGTATCTGTAATTTCCAAGAAATTCTAAATGTGCCTCTGCGGGTCTTCATTAGGTAAACCCACAAACAACCCTGTGGATTAGATCAGCTGCACCATGTATTGTTTCAGCTCAAAGTGCCCAGTGATGTCAGGTGTCACAATAGCCTGAGTCATATTAGCCAGACTGGGCCTTGCGGCTTCAATGACCACGCGTTCCTCATTACCTGCCATCTCAATTGGATGTGGTTGAACTACGATGTCCGACTCTCTTTCAATTCTGGTTCTAGCGTCCACCTCCCTCCTCAATCTATGAAGTGTTCGTTCAATTTCGGTATCAAGAGGAAGGAGATTGTTTGCGCTTCTACTTCTTCGCATTCAATAGAAACTCATGTATTAGCACAAACAAAGTGAACTGAAAGTTAAAACTCGAATAAATAAATAATAAAAGATCAATTCAGTCAAGTAGCTAATTTCTTAGTCCCCGGCAACGGCGCCAAAAACTTGTTGAGACCAAAAACACTCACGCAAGTGCACGTGATCGTCAAGTAATAGAGTAGTGAGTAGAGTATCGTTCCCAGGAAGACTTATGATTAACTGTTGACTGATTCAAACCCAATTTCTTTATCTACCCAAGAGATTGTTCACAAAAGAGAGATGTAATTATTTTACTACTTAAACTATAAAGAATTAATCTAACTAAAGCAAATAACCAAACAAATAGCAATTTCGAGTAACAAACAGTAGGAGAGGATATTCCAGAGTCACGGGCATAGTTAACAATCGTGTTGTGTCCATGTCTTAAAATGACTAATCAATTTATCTGGGTTATTGATTGACAGTGTTGATATTACTCACCTATTCAAGTCAACTCAATGCCTATATGTCTATGGAATTAAGATTAACAAGAACGCATTTACAATTTCTGTATTTCAACCAAACAAGGCAATTGGGTATATGTCTATCCCAATTGCAAATCTGTTCCCCGAGGCCCGGGTTTAAGAACTTGATCTATTTAATTCTATATGCAATCTAAAGTTCCCACTTTCGAGTTCAAC